CTGTCCATGGATTTAATCCATAGAGGGAAGAATGTTACCTCAAGCAAAGTTCACCTAGTACTTGATCTTAAATAAAGAGCCAGTAGGCTAGGAAGTATTAAAAGAGGATCTTGACACATAGCTGGACCAAGGAATACGTGGTCTTCAGACAGGGAGGATGTCTAAGCCCCTCAGGTTTCTCATTACAGGCAGATGGATGGATGGGTGCTCAAAAATCCATTTTATTTTACAAATTCACTGGATCACAAGATGTAGATTACACTTACACTTTTAAAATATGCAAGATGGGTGAGGGATCACTTCCAGCTTTGGTTCATATTTTTGTAATCCAGTTTCCTTAGAAGACAATCAAACTCATTGTACAGAAGCCTTACCCTCAATGCAAAGAGCCCAGCATTGCTCTGAGAGCACTAGATGTTTTAAAATTAAACAAAGCTGAAAGAGACCACTCAGCACCTTGTTAAAAATAGGTTCAACCCCCACAGCCTGTCTGTGGCTTTTTTTTTTTAAGGAAAGATCAAGTACTAGGTGAACTTTGCTTGAGGTAACATTCTTCTCTCTATGGATTAAATCCATGGACAAAGGCATTTGTGGCAAAATGCATTTATATTTTCACTTTTAAATGTATTCAAAATGAACAGTTTTTTTAAAAAAAACAACAACCTATAGTTCAGAAAGCAGGCTGTGTCCTGAGCATGCATGAAATAAATGATCACCTTGTAGCAAATAAAGTATGTGTTTTATATCATATCTGATTTACAATATGGAAACAATGAGAGGGTAAGTATGGCAGGTCAAGATGAATAAACAACTATGAATATATTAACATGTTTCATTGTACTATGGTCATATGTGATCATAATATGAGAAGGCGGGTAATAGAGGCATTAGTTACAAAGAACCAGTGTTATACTACATAAAAATACAAATTGCTGTATATTGGACAGTGTATGTTAAATGTAATAAGTAGTAACTTTAAATAAATAAATAAAAAAAAATCTGTTCTATCCATGACATTTTTTAACATGCCTTGATAAGGGTTTAAC